ACATTGGGGCGCAAGATGTTACCTGAAGGGGGGCTTTTTGCAGGCATGAATGTAGCTCTCGTCCGATCCGTCCTCACAGTCTGGTTTGCCGTCACAGATGTAAGCCTGGACAGGTCGGAAGTAATGAAATGAGCAGTTGGTTGGGGAGGTTTGCGAAAACGTACCTTGAATATGCACTGAGAGCTGTTGCATTTGTAGAAGTTGGCAGGACAGTCGATGTTTCCGCAAGATTCCGGCTCATCTGATCGATCGTCGCAGTCTGGTGTACCGTCACAGTGCCAAGACTTGGGAATGCAAATTCCGGACGATTGGCATTGGAACTGTTTCTCCAAGTTGCATTGATTAGGCGCAATAGAGGCTGCAGTCAATATCACGGTCTCAAATTAGAAATTTTGAAATTCCAACAACTCACGGCATCCCAGTTCATCACTGCCGTCATTGCAATCCGGAATGGCATCACACTTGTAACTCTCCTGGACACATTGGCGCAAATCGGCACACTTGAACTGATTGGACTTGCAGGTGATTGGCGGACAGTCTTGCTCATCTTGCTTGTCGAAGCAGTCATCGTCGCCATCACAAACCTGTGGGTTCTCGCGCATTAAAGACCCCGACCTCCACAAGAACCTGCAGTGAACTGACCCAATTCTGCGGAATACAATGCCCCGTCCTGGGGCAGGTAAACTGGTAGTAGGCGCACGTTTTCTCCGCACAAGAATCGCCCTCGTCGCTGCCATCTCCACAATCGTTTTCTGAGTCGCACTTCCAACTGGAAAATCCCGTTTAGTTTACCACCCATCTAGTGCAGCTCAAAATACTGTACCTGCTGGGGATGCACCTGCCGTTATCGCAATGGAACTGAGTAGAGCTGCAAGTCACATTCACACAACCAGTCTCATCACTGAAGTCGCCGCAATCGTTCTCAGCATCACATTTGAAGGTGAGCGGAATACAACGGCCGGATTTGCATTGGAACTCCTGAGCACTACAGGTGGGTTCTAGAAGCAAGTTTCAATTCAATCCTGTGCAGGAAAAGGCTACATTTAACACCTACTGGTGCAGTTCTGTTCCTCGTCGCTGTTATCCAAGCAATCATCATCTCCGTCGCACACCCACGACTTAGGAATGCATCTTTGATTGTTGCAGGTGAAGTCCCAGCTGTTGGGGCAGGCCTGAACGGGCGGCTCATGGTTGGGGTCGGCTTGGCACGTTCTCTGGTCCTCCATCAAACGCTCCCCATATGGGCACCCTGAATTATCCATGTGGAAGACCAGCCAGAGCAAACCAAAAACGAAAACCTACCGCACTTGGACATCAAATGCCCATTCTCCATGGGCAAGGCGAAGCATAGCTTCTGGCAATTTCCATTATCGCTATGGCACGGATGGTTCATCGTGACGTTTTGCTCACTTCTTGAGTAGATTTTCACACCATAAAGCCGATTGGTTTGCGGTTCACGGACCAGAGTTTCTTCCCCTTCGCCCGTTAGCTTGTGAAGTCGGATGATCGCGTCCAGTCTCCAATCGGTTATATACATGAATTCCTTGTATATTACTATGCTGCAGGAAGGAGGGTTAATTGGTCTAAATCTCCATTCTCTAGGTAGGTACCCACCTAAACGGGTGCCTGATCAGTCTGGAATTGACGGTTTTAATGTCGGTTCCATCCAGATTGGAGTGCTGCACGTGATCCAGCAGAGCGTCGCACCAGTAGAGGCGGTCCGTCTCAAAATCAATGGATAAACCATTAGGCCAGCCGAGGGTCAAATTTTTAAAAACCGTCAAGTTGGTTCCTGCAAAAAACCGCTCTTATTCCTGAGCCTCTATAAGCGAACCACCCACCATCAGTGAACGCTCGCGAAATATTCGCAGGTCTGTCCCATTCGGAGAAGAACAAGAACCCTCGGTTGGGATGAACCACTATAGCCCTTGGCCTTTTGAGGTTCTTCAGCAGCGTTCTGCGGTAGGTGACGTTTCGGGTGGATAAAACGTTAAGGGTTCCCTTGCGGCTGTCGATGTAGTAGAGGTTCTTTGCAGCCCAATCGACAGCCAGTCCTTCTACGCCTTCATTTTGAGAGGCCAGCACGATTTCCTTGGAGTCTCCATTGCGATGCACTCGGTAGATGACGTCTTGGAGCACATCTGAGTAGTAGATTTGCTCGCTGCTGGCATCAAAGTCCAGACCGACGAACCTGGAAAGGAGCAAAGAATTTCATCGGGGTTCAGTCCGGATTGATGGCGCTTCTTGCCTGGCTCTGCGTGAAACAACTGGCAGAATGGCGTCGCTGAATCCCTCCACCACCGGGTCCAGGACTTTGCCTTTGATGAATCTTTGCTGGGAGTACATGAGGAAGTCTTCCACAGAGTCGCAGGTCTGCTCGTCCAGCCCCAGCCTGAAGCCGATGTTACAGGCACATCTGTAGCCTAAAGCACCCAATCGGTCCATTTAGATGTCCAGGGCCTAAAGTGGGTTCTCACCTAAGATTGGCGGGTACTTTCCTCTGACCACCTCAGTTTGGGTGACGATACACATGTGCTGGCATCCTCCGTTGTTGTTTCCACACGGGTTCCCAACGTATCGCTGCACCAAGGGGTGGACCGCCTTTATAGCTCGGGGGTCGCGAATGTCCTTCATTCTATATACGGTTTGTATTCCAGAACTGTCGAACTTGTCCACTGACATCACCCCTTGCTTGGTGCTGTCCGTCCAGTAGACTCGGCTTTCGAAGAGGGCCAATCGAGTCGGGCTTGGCACCTGAATATTCACATATTGTTACGAATTTAACAGTGACATGTTCGTTTTGAAGAAAAAGACCAACGAGGCAAACGGCGCTTAAGACAGGGATCAAAAGAGGAACAGGAGAAAGGATGTCTGGAAGGGAGAGAAGAACAATAGGAAGACACCCAGAAGAGGGGGATGTACAGAAGGAAATGCGTTTACAAGCTAAGAAAGAAGGTGAGACATCAACATCGAGGGAAAATACACTTAGGAGAGGAGCTACATGAAAAATGCGCATAGGAAGAAAGATGAGAGAGAAACCAGAGGAAAAACCTCCGGGCCCAAATGCACATGTTTTGGACATTGGCCACCCCGCTTTAGCATCTAATTTGAAATTTTGCGGAAAATGTTAAACACCAAAGTTGTAGATACTAACGTCTAGTTCATTTTAAGATAACACCAATTGATACAGGGTGTCTCAAATGCAAGTCACAGACCAAACTTACCCTTACTTTAAAAAAGGTGACTTTTTACTAGCGACAATTTTATATTCCTGGTTCTCACCTGTTGGCCCCTGATGACTAAAAACCTCTTCTGACCATCATAGTCGACAGTCTCAATGTAATCAAGCAGAGAGTCGCACCAAAAGACGCGCTTGGCAATAATATCCACAGCTATACCAGATGCTTTGTAGGCAGCTTCAGAAACGATGGAAACTGAATTGGTTCCATCCATATTAGCTCTTAACACCTGCGAACTGTCGGCCACAAACATCAAGCCTACTGAAGGGTCCAAAGCCAGATCGGCCGGATTGCTCAGATTGGAGCTCAGAACGATGGCGTGCCAGCGATGATCCGCTGTGGGCGGTTGCAGTTCGAAGACGTCGATTTTCTGCCCAATCGCATCAGCTACGTAGAGCTTCTCTCCCACCCAGTCCACAGCAATAGCTATTGGAAGCCAAGTGCCTGGTAGAACGATGTCTTGCTCTATAGCGTCGAAGCCATTTATCCGCAGCTGTTGGGAGTGAATCTGCAAAACAAATCGTCAAAAGCTGGCAAGGCTGGCTTATAGTTAGAGCGGCGTACTCTTTTCGTTTTAACATCTGACCAGAACATGACGTTCTTCTTGTAGTGGAAGTCCAAACCGCTCGCCCCAGTTGTGTTAACCACCACCCTAATACTGCTCCCTGAAGGGTTCATCACAAAGATGCTTTTATCGTGAGCAAAGTAGAGTTGCATATTGCTGGAATCATCGGCAATGCATCGATTTTGGTTCTTCAGCTTGTAGCCGGGGGCGCAGAGGCAGCTGTAGCTGCCCGGATTGTTTGTACATAGTTGGTCGCAGTAGCCCCAAAGGGCGCATTCGTCTCGGTCTGCACAGGTTTTGTTATCGGAGGCCAGAATCTTTCCCTCTGGGCAGTAGCACTGACCACCTGGAACAAGCGGGAAAATGCATTACTAGACACCAATCCACTTGAAGATGTCCATCTTTGACCAGATTAATCTTTAAGCTCGCTACTCATAAGGAAATGTTTGCACCTGTTAGAGAAGCCTGGCACTTGTGTTCGCACGTCAACAAAGGACACGCCAGCTTGGAGCAGGCAGCCTCCTCATCAGCATGATCTTCACAGTCGTTCTTTCCATCGCACAGCTTGTTTTTCGGGATGCATTTATATTTGCCATCGGAACTACCTACAAGGCAAACCTTCCATTAGAGTCTTCGCAACTTTGTGGAATCCTCCAGACCTTTAGGGCAAAGAAACTTGTTGTCTGGACATGCAATGGCTGTGCAGTTGACTTCGTCACTACCATCGCTACAATCTTGATATCCATCGCACCGGAACGCGCCTGGTATGCAAAGAGCATTCGCACATCTGAACTGGACTCCATGGCAGACTGGGAAGTTGCAACCCTGCTCATCTGAGTTATCGCCGCAGTCGTTTTTATGGTCGCATTTCTGAGCAGCTTCGATACATCTGTTCAATGGGAAATGGAAGTGAAGCTCAGAAAAACTGCATTGTCTGGTTTAATACCTCTGACCGTTTGCGCATCTGAACTGATCCAGCCTGCAAGACATACCGGCGCAGCCTTGCTCATCTCTACCACTTCTACAGTCCAAATATCCATCGCATTTTTTCTCCTTCGGTATACACGGGTCGGATGGTTTGGGGCCGCAATGGAAATCATCAGGCTGACATTTGCGATATGCTGAAAAAGCATTACGATCACGAATAAATCTCAATTTTCTGCTCATGAATGCTTTGTCTCTATTATCCCAACCCCCGTTTCGCCAGCCAATAAATGAAAATACAAAATTTCATCATCGTCCCGGCCGGGAATCTGAGAAATAAAAGAAAATTTCCATCAATACATTCTCGAATAGCGTAGGTGAATATTCGGACCGTTTTTCCAGTTTTCAATTCAGCGATCTTCTTATCCCTTATGTATTCCTTATTGAAAATAAAAAAGCTCCCATTCGATAGGGCATTGATAATGCGAACAAAGATATACATAATATCGCAACCCAACGAACTCGAAGAATAAGAATAGAGACGGAGTGAGTGATTCAAGAGTTAATTTTAGAGCTATTTTCCAAGGGAATATTAAGCGCAAGTTTTCTATTTACAAATTCATAACTTCTATGCCACATTAAGAAGCAACTTGAAATTGTCACCACCAAGAGACACTAGTCAAGGGTAAAAGCTGTGAAATTTTCAGGAAAATCGAGCAAAACCCTGAGGTAAGCCAACGAGGTCAAGGCTGATAAGAAATGGCTACATTCACAAAACAGACGCACTTTTTCAAAAATTCACAACTTCCAAGCCACAATAAGTAGCAACTTCAAAATTTCACCATTGATTAAAAACAGTTGAGACCGAAAGCCTGGAATTTTTGGGCCAAATGGCGCAAGCTGGTGAGTTTCTTCAATGAGGCCGATTCGGACCTCAAATTGAATGTTTTCATATAATTGCTCGCCAGCCTTTAAAAGTTTGCAACTTCCAAACCAAGTTAAGCAGCGAATTCAAAATTTTCCCATCAAAAGAGTTCATTTGAGGCAAAACTCTCTGAAATTTGCAGCCGAATTTCAGCATACAGTGGGCTTTACCAATGATGTCAATATGCCTCAAAATGAGTATCTCACAAAGTTACCCGTCCCCCTTTAAAAATTCACAACTTTCAAATGAGGTCATGTAGCCAATTGAGAATTTTTCCATATAAAGAAATCACTTGAGGCTGAAAGTTCTAAAAATTTCAGCCAAATTGCAACATAGTGCTAGTTACACCGGTGATGTTAATGCTGGCCTCAAAAGGAATGTTCTCCGCACAATTACGGGCCCTCTATAAAAGTCCATAACTTCCAAGCCAGATTAAGTATCGAATCGAAATCTTTCCCATCCAAAGAAGTCATTTGAAACTTAAACCGATGAATTTTTCAGTCAAATCGCAATATTCAGGGATATTTGCCAATGATGCGACTCCTGGCCTTATATTGATTGGTGTTGCACCATTACGTGCCTTCTTTAAAAATTCATAACTCCCAAGCCACATTAAGCAAGTATTTTGAATTATTTTAAGTAGAAACTTTGACCAACTGAAAACAACAATTGAGGCTCAAAGCGCTCAAATTTGCACCCAAATGGCATCCGCACGTGAGTTTGTTCAGCGATGTCAATGCTGCGTTCAAAATTATCGGCTAGCAAAATTTGCAACTTCCAAATTAAATAAAGAAAGGAATTTGACGTTTTTCCATCAAAAGAACTCATTTGAGACTGAGAAAGAGACCCCGGAAAATTTCAGTCAAATCACAGCGAACCGGGTGTTTTGCCAATGATCCCAATCGCCTGCCGGTAAAAAATTCAGAACTTCCAAGCAACGTTAGATAGCAACTTGCAATTTTCACCACCTAGAGAGAAGTCACGGGCCTAGAAGAACTGCAATGGGCAGTCCAATCGCAACAAACCAAAGTTTTCCCCATTGTGTCAAAGCCGGCCTAAAAATAAATGTTTTTACACAATTAACCGCCCTTACTTAAAGAACGCACAACTTGCAAGTTTGACCGAGTAGCGATTTGAGATTTTTACCAGGTAGAGCAAACATCAGCAGCTAAACGTGTTGAAAATTTCAGCCAAATCGCACTAAAATGTGATTTTATTCAGCATGTCAACGCCGGTCATAGCAAAAGAATTCGGTATACTTTGGCCCCAGACATTCCTCTTGTAGAAATAAATTTTCTTGTCATTTTTTTAATTTAAAATGTATTAATTGGTTCTGCAGGTGAAAATGTATAAAAACTGAACAAAACAAAAGATACTGAAAACCCCAAAGGAACGCGAGTAGTCAGAATTAGCTCAAAAATTCCTGTTCGGATTCTAACGCTCTTGTGAAACTGAAGTTTCCCACTCATATAAAGATTTGCATTAAATCAACTGAGCGCAAAAAACACCAGTTTTCAATTTGTAGCTTTATCCATCAAGGAAGGATTACAATTGATAATTCCGCGCCCACAAAACAACACGAAAACAATTAAATAAATGGCAAAAGCATTAAATGAGTATAAAACGATTTATTTAAATGGCAATTTCGAAATGTTGCCCTGCTGGCTTTGAATTTCGGTAAACCTGCCGGTTACTTTGAAAGGTTTCGCTTCGCTAATTATTACGAGATCTGGAAAAATCTATTTCCGAATTCCAGTCCCGGAAAAATCCCTGTTTAACGTTAAGACATTTTAAGACCCATCCTGCCGTAAAATGAGAACCGCTCATTTAAGAAAGACGTTCCCTTTTGTCCTCTTTTTTTGCAAATCCGTTACCGCAATTTCAGGGTTTTCAAAATGTTTCTCTTGAGAAAAATGGGTTAAAGCCGGCTTGGGCTGTTCTTAACGACCGATTCCCGACGTATTTCATCGCAAATTTATGCCCAAGTACGTGGCAAAATATCGTTAATTTTGCGGCCAAACAGGGGTTGGATTATTTCGGCCCTGGACGAAACAATTCGAAAGGAAGGGATTAGATTAATGCTTTTTTTAATTGATTTATTGTTTTTCTTCAGCAAATAGACTTACTACATTCGGACTCATCCGAACCATCTATACAGTCTACGTTCATATCGCATCGGTAATGCGGAGGAATACAGAATGTTTTGTTGAATATGTACTGTCTGCATGTTAGTTGGCCTGGTTCGCAATCTGGAGGAGCTGGAAAGCACAGAAGTTATTAATTATTTGAAGAAAGTGCAGGGCTTTTACAGTATCTTGTTTGTTTCCCGATAATGGTAAAACCAAACTCGAAAACTTACTGCACTGTTGGAATTCATCTTCTCCCTTTTCGCAGTCTTTTTGGTAGTTGCAAACCCATAGCGATGGTATGCACTTGCCCTCTGGACATTTGAACATCCCCTGAGGGCATATCACTCCTGTGGGATCGCCTGAAACTAAAAAAAAGTTTTTAGCGGTTTAGCAGGAGCTTTTTAGTGTTGAATTCTCAAAAGATGCCGAAACATCAAATTCTAGCTGAAACACCGCAGCAACTATTGTATTTGCAATTAATGTTGATACGGCGTAACAATGCGACATGCAATTGTGTTATTGATTGCAGAAACTGCTGAGCTTTTAACTATTATCGCATTGGAACATATTCGCGAAAATTCTGCTAGTTTCTAGTTGAATTGAGACCCAATTATGCAAGCGAATTGATTGGATTTGCACTTAATTATCAAATTATAAATGGTGTTTGGTGTGGGAAATGACCATCCTGTACAGCTTCCGTAACGAAATTCATGCAATTATCGGCCAATCATAGAGCAAAAAATTCCCAACGCCACTTGAATAACCGAGTGGTACCAACAGGTACTGGATTTTTCGGTTTATTTGCCAAACAATTAAATAATTATGATTGGCTAGTTTAACCTTTGTAAATCGCCCAAACAAGTAGCGAGCATGTGTGTATGTAGGTTTCAATTGACATAATTGAATAATATTAGCGAGAATTGCAATAATACCATTAGCTTGCTACTTATACGGAGTGTCAGCCAGTGGAACAGTAGAATTGCTTGATTGGAGCCCAGTTTTCCAGGATTTTTCCTGATCAAAAGCGGCCTAATAATTCTCCTAGTCGTCGAGCTCCAACCAGATCCAAAGCTATTCGAATAATCCATAATTCATGCTTTCAGCCGTTGAAATTAAAGCTGTGTGGTCATATAAAGCATTTCGGAATTTGAATATCAAAGGCCGTTTTTCATCTATTTGCGTGTGTCAAAGATGGAACAACTAGAAACTGGAATATCAGAATCGAGCGTTTTGCTGTTCTGGAACATTCAACGAAAAGCCTGCGGAAAAAATGCCGCTGCAAATTGAATAAAATCCTGAGGACTTCCGAATACACATGTTTTCTATAGACTGTAAAAATTTGAAGTTGCTGCCTTGCTCCAGATTGGACGTGAGGAATTTTTCTTTAATAGCTTGCAGTTAGATTAAACCCTTAAATGCCAGATAAAACTTTGAAAAATTCAAAAAAATCAATTCCTGGAGCTATTTGAATTAACTTTAGCCAGTTTTCAGACCCGCGTTTCTTCTATAAGCCGTGAAAATTGCAATTTGCTACTTTCTCTAAAATGGAAGTTACGATTTTTATTGGAGAGCCTGCACATGGCAAATGTTCACCTTAAGGCCAACATTTTCGGCTTTGAAAAATCAGGATTTAGAGCTCCTGGAATGATGTTTGGGGCGTTTTTAGGATCAGTGTCTTTTGTAGACTGTAAACAATCAAAATTGCTACTTGCTCTAAATTAGAATAAGGAAAAATATATTGGATAGATTGTAATTGGGCATGTAATGCATGCATTTTTGGTTTCACATTTGAAGAGTTCTTATAAATACATACGTGACTCTATTTGAATGAAATTGTGAGAGTTTTCAGCTCCACGTCTCTTCTATGAACAGAAAACATTTCAAGTTGCTACGTGCTTTATATGAGAAGTTGGGGATTTTTTAAAGAGCCTGTAGTTACGTGAAGGTCTTCCTGTTTAGTCCAACCTTCACAGACAAAGTTGGCAAAAATCCAATTTTGACGCCAATCAAACGAACATCTGGAATTACTTAATTTCACGTGTCTTCTATAAACGGTCAACATTTCAAGGTGGTACTTGTAATGGATTAGAAGCTAGAAATTTTATTTGAGAGCTTGCAGTTCTGTGAGAACGTTTATTTGCTCTCTACAAAGTATTCAAATTCCGATTTTGATGCGATTCATATCAGCTCCTCATATTGATTCGATTCAAGTAAATATGGTGGATTCTCGAAAAATTAAAAAAGTCGCTACATGTTTTAAACACGAAGTTAGAAGGGGGAATTTTTTATATTGAAATGTGCAGCGAAAGTGTCGCGTGAAAACTWGAAATTTTAAAATATTTACAAAGTCGCCAAAAATCCGGGTTTGCCSTGAATCCACTCAACCCTTGCCAATCTTTAGATTCAAGTGTCTTCCATAAAGAGCGTAAATCTCAAGTTTGCTTGCAAAATACTAGGAATTAACATTTTCTATTTGTTAGTCTGCAGTTGMGTGAAAACGTTMATTTTTACCTTAGCTTTGCAAAGCTTCSAAAAATCTSAAAGCAGTTTGATTCAAATGGTGTTTTGAAGCTTTTTAGCAGCGGGTGTCGGCTATAGATTCCCAAAAATTCAACTTTTTTAGAGCAGAAARTGCGATTTTTTATTAAAGAGAYTGAAACACGTTTTGAAGCGARAGCGTTACTTTACGAAATTGTAAAACAATCTGCTGTAAAATGGGTAATACAAAGAAATTCCATTTCAGTGMCTGAAAGTGAAGAAACTGAAGAAAGTTTTAAAAATTGAAGTTAAATGTGGCAATTTTGCGCGTGATTGCACTAATAGCATAACATTTTGCCATCAAATTGTTTCCTTTTGAGACGCATTTTAAATTAGGAATTTTATTCGCCTCGACTGCTTGGGATGATTTAAATACCGGGGCCGTTTTAGCCCCCAACTCAATTTAAAGCTTACGCCGGTAGTTGGATTTTGTCGCCGTAACATTTTCTCCCGCAGGTCATAAACTGATGTTGCCTGGCGAATTGCGCCCCATTTTCTAGTTTTCTTATTTCGTTTGCATATTGTAATTTTTCCGCAAAAGGTCCAAGAAATTGTGCGGTTAAAAAGTGCATTCCGAGCAAAGAAAAATTGAAATAGACCGACAGGATGGCGCAAAACCAAATGATTCAGCCAAGCAATTGTTACCGTTGCTTTTATGCAATGGAATTATTCATTGGAGTCGCACAATTGAACTGAAACCTTGCAAAGACATTGAAGAAAATTGAAAGAAAGCAAACTGGCGGAAAAATGTGAACCTATTCAGCCAGCAAATTCAAGCTACACAAAAAAGGAAATTATATTGATTTCCTTAATTGTCAGCTATTGTTCGGTATGCTAATGTGGGGTTTCCAGGAACGAACGTTTCATATATAAAGACTGCTGTTAAATGAGATTTCCTCAATGAAATTCTTATCATTTATGGTTATTCCGCCGTAGCCCAACTCGCACTTACCCGCGGACCGGAAAACGACCACTTAAGCAATTTTCCGTCCATTTCGGGAGTCGGGAAGCAGATTAGGGGAACAATTGCTTGTTAAAATTGCTGAAAGGAACAAAAGAGCTGCCGCTACTTTCAAGTTCTAAGCTGGAAATAAATACTGAATAACTAAATTAAGGACGTGTAAGGATTAGGTTGCAAGTCGCTTTGAGGGCGCGCAAAAATAGGATTAACTTTAGCTCCGAAATTTCCTCATGCAACTATTCAAACCATTGCAAACTGCCTTAATTACCTTATTTGTGCTATTATGCACTACCATTCCGGACTTTGAGCAATAATTGCATTATAATTACATATTTAACGGACGCCTGGATTACCAAATACATATGTTACGTAGGAATTTAAGCGACAATCAGATGTGAATGAGAAAAAAAGTAATGGCGGTTCATTCGTGCAATTATGCTCTTTTAAAAAGTTTTAGAAGACAGCAGCCGAAAGCTTCGTTTCGCACTTTCAAAGTCACCGAGCGAATGTGTAAAAAGCGCTGGTCCTTCGAGAGATTCCAGGTTGGGATCGTCTAGAACGCCTGGAGAACACGAGCCTGGAATGAATAATTGGCACGGAATGCTTTTTGCTAATTCATTTAATAGTGACAAGAGATAAAGGTAAATTGGGAGTGCGGTTTGAATATGAAATTTGATGAGGGGCCCCGAATCCTAATTAGTCGACGAGACTGAGCTCAGCTTTAAAGCCAATAAGGCCGCAAGGTTGAAAGAATTATTGCAGGCAGTTTGAATGGATGGTTGTTTTAGACAAATTTGCCTTAGTTAATGGTTTCGGAAGGTGTTGCCACCAAAGACCGATGTTTGAAAACACAAAAAATCTTATGTTTTAAATGGCTAAATACTCTTTTGCGCTTCAAAACAGAAAGTTTTGGACTTAATGCTCGATGGTTCAAACGATGACGGTGTCGTCGGCATATCGAATAGCGCGTATCAATCAATTCATCTTTGATCTTCTGAGCCTCAGAGTTCGCAGGACGCTCACAAGATGGCCATGTCGTCTGCACATTCAAAGTATGCTGAATAATTGCAGTTATAGAATGATTTACTGCTGAAAGACGTCGATCAGTTTTTCATCCATTGGAACCACTGCCTTCAACTTCCACCACAAGATTTCCATAAACAGTAGAAGTCTACCATGGACTCCTGAGGTTCTTAATGCAATCGACAGCTCAAAGTTGCAACAGTTTTGGGCAAGCATGCTTAAGATATATAATATAATGTAAGAAGGTCACAAATATGCATTTATAAAGTGTTTGGTTCAACAATAAGGAAGAAATCGTCGGCTAAAGATCATGAACGCTCAAAAAACGCTTAAAATATGCCGAAAATGACTAGTATTTCGGATCTGAGACTTCTAGCATGTTTTTCAATGAGTTCGATGCATTCTTTGCGTCGGTGAGCTGAAAATTATGTAAAATTTAAGCCCTTTTATCAAAAT